ATCATGACCTGAGCCGAAGGCAGGCGCTTAACGACTGAGCCACCCAGGCGCCCCTGGATGTTAAACATTCTAACAGCCCCTCATACCATTCCTAAGAAGTAAGTGAGAATAACAACAAAAGCAGTTGTGACGTTGTGATATGAGTATTCTTTGCCAAAAGTAAAGCACTGGACAAACTCAATCTTTTAATAAACATTTCTGAGCTCCCACCACGTGCCAGGTATTGTACAGGATGTAAGAGTGAACCAAACATCCAAAAATCCTCCCTGCCCTTAAGGGGATTATGTTCTAGTGCAGCGGGGGGATGATATAATACAGGAGATAATCAGAAAATTAGAACGTCAGGTGGTAGAAAGTGCTCTAGAGAAAAATCAAGCAGGGAAGGGAGACCAGGGGTTCAGGAAGCCTTGTGCCTAACATCTGACCTTGATTCCAGGTCCTGCTCCCTGCTCCCTGATCTCTTCACTGACACTCAAGTTTTCCTAGACCCAGTTTAGCTTGAAATATATACTGAGCACCTGTAGGGCGGCAGGCTAGGTGCTGGGACACAGTGTGAACAAAAACAGACCCGGTCCCCGCCTCTCCTGAGCGTAAACTCGGGAGGGGAGTCAGACTTAAACAACCATAAAGGGAATCGGATGTGCGGGCTAATAAAACTGCAGGTTGCAGTAAGAGTTTTAAAGGGAAGAGAGAAGGGGCGAGCTGGACGAAGACGGCAAGCCAGGACGTTTCCGTACGGCAGTCATGGAAGACCATTCTGAGGAGCTGACACTGTGCCTGAAGGTTGTCACTCTTTCCTCCTCTCTCTATTCCTACCTCTCTTCCAGCTTCCAGTCATTCCCTGGGCCTCAGTTTCTCTGGGAAAACCTGCTCTCAAATGCTCATCTCACCCACAGTTGGATTAGCTGTGCTGCCTCAGGATCCGTGAACTCGGCCAGGATCTAAAACAGGGGCCGATGAGGGCTGTCCCGACGGCCCTAGGCCCTCAGTCCTACAGCTAAGCAGCTTGGGGCATGGATGGGGAACCAAGAGGCAGATGCAACCTAGGCTCCAAAAGGACCCACCCGTGGGGGCCATGGACCTCAGGCCCAGAGTGAGCATGACGGCTGCCACCCAAGCACCCTGGGCCATTTACTGAGCCACTCTCTTGCTCCAAACACTCCCATACTATTTTGTGCAGCTGGGGCTAGGATCTCTGCTCCCCCACCCGGCTCCATGCTCGTCCCCGCCAACAGGGGACCATAGAGGGACCCTGCAAGGCTGAAGGAGGAAGAACAGGCTTCCTGTTTCTGGGTGCATCCCTCCAACATCACTCCTTCACCCCGGGCAAGTTCAGTCTGTCTCAGCAGTTAGATCTGGTCTGCGGTTTCCCCAACACTTCAAGAGCCAGCCGCAGAGACCTCAGTGCCTGCCAACAAGTGCTCTGTCTTCCAGTCTTTTAATTGTTTATGATTCCAGCCCATTCTCTTTGTTCTGTCCAGAGCTGCAGTGCCTGCTTCCCACGGGGGCTACACGGCTGTAATACCTTCACCTTCCCTTTGGACCTTGTCGGTTTCCCAGCCGATTCTTTGTATCTAGTTAACCAGTAGGTTTCTAGACTTGCTCAGTTCATGGTGCCCTTGCTGTTGGGGTAATTTTTCACAGAGTTCCTAACCAAAGAAACACCTGTTTCATTTATTAGTTAGTCCAAACAACTTAATAAGTATTTATATCCTAACAACATAACAGTGGTTTGAGAAAACATTACACACAAAAGACAAAATACTGTAACGTCACTCTGTAACAGCCACAGTTACTTGCTACTGGGACGCATGCATCTGTTGAGCACTGAACAAGCCACTCCTATTTCCTGCCCCAGGTGGACTTTTGTGCAATACTTGTTTTTCATCATACCAGCTACTGGAAGGCCGGCTTTGCAAAGATACAATGGCATCCAAGGAATGTGGCTCAGTCTAAAGCTGAAACTGTGGACCACCTCTACTTAGTAGTTTGTATGGTGTTGGACAGAGGACACTGTTTCATGATCTTTTAAGATTAAAATCTAAAATGTCCTCACGTGATACCTCGGCAAGTTCACTGTGGTGTCCTGGGCTGCCCCAGTACGGTTTGAGAAACATGGCAGGAAATAACTCCTTACAAGCAATCCTCTCTACTAAAATAAGTGGTGTGATTTATCTGCTAACGCGGCCTTGACCAATGCAGGACCCCACTGCCTGAACTTCATGAACATTCTGTGTCTTCATCTTTCCTCTCCCAGAGCTCCCTTCTGCCTGGGGACCCCCTGACCACCCCCTGACGTCCCAACTGGCACTGTGTATCCCAGCGGAGGCTCAGACCAGTGCATCCGGTGTTAAACTGGGGAGCAGGGTGTTGGGCCACAACTACTTCCACAGTGATTGCCCGGGTGCTCAGATGCCAAGAAGAATTAAACGGACACGGGCACAAGATGGCAGCCTGAAAATAAAAGCTTTGGAATGTTTAAAAATTACTTTGGTGGCAGAGGAAATCAGGCTGGAAAGAGAGAAGCAATTTCTAAATTACATGGTTTCAGTTTCCAGAGAGGAAAAGAGTTTCAGAGTGGGAGGGAGG